GAATCTACCGGCATTAAAATCTCAAAATTTTCTTTGTAAATCAAAATTTATCCCTTGAAAATAGATACAATCGATACAGTTTTTCACAGTAAAAGAGAAAATAATGTTTTATAAACTATTTAATACTTTTGTATTAAAATAATGAACTGAATTTTTAGATTCAGTATTATTTTATAAGAAGTCAACTAACTTAAAGCTAACTTTAGCCCGTGACTAAGAAGTTCGTAAGCCACTGTTGCTAAATTCAGCCCATGACTAAAGCGCCATAAAGCCACAACTTGTGGGAGTAGAAAAAATTATTTAAAAAAGTTTGACTTCATTTTACGGTACCTACTGACTAGTTACTGACTTACCACTACTAACCAATTACTAACTATTTACTGACTATTTACTAACTAGTTAGTAACTAGTTGTTACTGTTTAGTTAAACGTAAAAACTTTGTAAATTTTAAAAATTTTGTAAATCTTTAAAATATTGAAAATTTTGGAAACCTAACATTTTAAAAATTTTAAAAATATATAAATAAATTCAATATTTATTATCTTCTGGACACCTCGTTAAAGCAGTTTGACTTTATAAATATATTTTCCATCCAAATAAAGGAAATTTAGTATGGTTGCCATAGCATTTAGTTAAGTCTAATACCCAAAAACATTTTTAACTAAATACTAAGGTCATTCTCATTCTACACCACATGTTACTATACCTATTTATTCTAAATAATTTTTGACTGTTTGAACTGTTTCAAAACTAATTTATCCCAATTTGATATATTTCCCCACATTAGTTTTACGTACATTATTAAATAACATTATTAATTATAATACATCCATTAGTATGATTTTAGTTTATTTTAGATTTATGTTTATTAACAAATTGGTTATGATGTTGATATAGTAAAATTAATTAAGTTCAGGGGCTAGCCAGAAATTTCCATTGACAATACACAAAAATTATTAAACAAAAATATGGTAACGCTAAATTACCCCAATATTGCAAATATTTTAAATTAAGTAAAGAATGGTGGTGTAAGTTCCCAAAATAACGTTTTTGGCCATAATTTTTAAATTTCACAAGAAGGGCACAAAAATAGTTTTTGATTAACTTCACAAAATATGGAATTAAAGTATTAAGTATGTAAATATCTACTTAGTACTTAGTCATAATATCTTGATAAAATAAAAATATTCGCATATTTTTTTAAATATTTATATTGTGGACCATTGTTTTTTTAGAGGTATGACATAAAAGTTTGTACGCACCGTGGGTATTAATAAAAGTTTATGCCCTCGGGCGACTTAAAACGTTTGGTCCAGAAGCCCTCAAGTGTGAAAGATAGTCATCCTCAGGGCTTTTAAACACCCTTGGTACATAAATAACTATTACATCAATAACTTATTTTTTCCTTAAATATCCATTTTATTGTTTATTTTAACCATGCAACATGGCAAAAGAAGAAGGAAGTCGACTATCCTGTCTCTCTAGTTTTTAATATTATATTATATTTTAATAAATGATAAATTTGTCTAATTCATTTTAAGAGAGCAGCAAATAGATTATTAAAAATAACCGTTATGTTATAGTAATATAATTGTGATTATAGTGATAACTTCGGGTTAAATTGTTGTAATAAATTATTACTAATAATATAACTAATAATTTTAACACATTTGTGATTGTAGTAAAAACCGAACCAAAATTTTGTAACTAACTTAATAAAACGGTGAATACTCAGCGTATTTAAAAATTTACACCAACATTAATATTTTATTGCTTTAAAGTGCAAAAATTAATCAGCATTTAAATTAACTCGATTAAACACAAAATGGCCGGTTAAATAAAATAAAAATAGTAATTTTATTAAATTTTATTTAATCCAAACGTCAATTATTTTTAATGATAATGGTTTTTGAGTTAATTGAATTTTAATTTTATTCTTATAAGACTATTTATATAAAACATTATAAGTCTCGACGTCATGATGTAACAAAGATAAATATTTTTTACTACCATAACTAAACTTAATAGTAACAAAGTTATGATGTTTTATTTTTATTTACAGAAACGGTCAAAAATTAAATCTGATAACCCCTTTGAAATACAAAACCTTAAAAAAAATTATCTGCATATTTTGTGTATGAATATGTGATTTCTTACGTGCCTAATAAAGGAAAAAATTAAAATTTGACTACCAAATAATAATACAACTTTTATAAATGCTTTATAATCTTAGTCTTAAAAAATCAATACATATTAATTAACTATAATAGTGCAATTGGATAATTTTCAATAGCTCAACGTGTAATAATAAAATCCGCACCACAATTCTTCGAACACGTATCGTCAAGTTGATACGTGTCTGCACAAAAAGAGAATCATTTGCAGGTAGTCGAGTTTTTAGGAAATATTGTTCGGCCATTCATGAGACTCGTCCCTAATCCCTGAATTGAAAAATCACGCAGTTCTACGGTGTTTGTTCGCAACAAAGAAACTGTTTCTCTGCCAAATGTACGAACCGAACGAGGGACCAGCAACAGCAACGCGCTTGTAACACCTTTTCCCTACCGAAAGATTACGCCTAGTTTACCTAGCTGATTCACTTAAGGAATTCCATTGTGATCGAAGAAGGTTACGACTATTCACAGGACCGTCGGCTCTAATACTCCAAATGTTATTGCTTCGTCTTTGTCTAAATAAATAAGTTTACTTTGGGAGATTTCGTTTTAACATTTTTACAGTAGTAACATTTTTAATTTTTAGTTGGCAAATTTTTTTATTTACAATTAAATACTAAGGTTAACAGGATCAAGAAACATAATTTTAATATAATTTAAAAAAAATATATTTCTAAATAATAGAATTAACTTTGCAAATTTATTTAAAAAAAATGAGTAGGTAATGTTTTAAACACACCATTTAAATTCTGCAATATACACTATTATAAAAATTATACACTCACAGGCAAAATAATCGATCAACACAAATTTTCGATGAATTTCAATCGCAAATAACTTTTTTATTTTATGTCGGCTTTAAACGAATATTAAAGAATATTGTAGATAAATTAATGGACAATCGCTCACATTTTAAAAAATTACTAAAAAATAGACGTATATACAGGTTTAAACAAAAAGTTAAGTTTAAGACACTCTGTAGAGTGGCAAAACCGTATATTGTTCTAAATTAAGTTTTATTTATCAAGTCACATCTATTCTTCACAGTTTTGTTTTTGGTTCACCTCGATATATTTATTTTTGTGGAAAATATGGATTTTTTAAAAACACATTGCAATTTCCAATATTTTTCTGTATGAAGAACTAAGGTTGCTATGGTCCATCCATAGGCTATGGAGAATGACAGTGACAGTTTTGTTAAATCATCCCATACTTGGACATGTCATACACGGCTTTCAAAAGCTATCAAATTGTTTTTTGCAAATTATTGTTTAAATTTTGAGGTGTCTTCTTACTTTAAAAAATGGATATGTCTCCGACTGATGTTGCCAGAGCCATTAATTTAATCCAAGATGGACGGTCACAGTATTACGAGGCAAGTGTTTTAAACGTCACAAGAAGTAAAGTACAAAGGGCAATATTAGTCGAAGACATTTTTAAAAGTAAGAAGACACCTCAAAATTAACACATTAATTTGCAAAAAATAATTTGATAGCTTTTGAAAGTATGGAATGATTCAACAAAACTGTCACTGTCATCCTCCATAGGCTATGGATGGACTATAGCAACCTTAGTTCATTATACAGGAAAAATATTGGAAATTGCAATGTTTTTTTTTTAAATCAATATTTTTCACAAAAATAAATATATCAAGGTGAACCAAAAACAAAACTGTTAAAATTAGATGTGACTTGATAATTAAAACTTGATTTAGAACAATATACGGTTTTGCCACTCTACAGAGTGTCTGAAACTTAAGGTAAAAAACATATTTTTGTTTAAACCTGTATATTATAAACGTACGTGTATTTTTTAGTAATTTTTAAAATGTGAGCGATTTTCCATTAATGTATCTACAATATTCTTTAATATTTGTTTTAATCCGAAATCAAATAAAAAAGTTATTTGCGATTGAAATTCATCGAAAATTTGTGTGGATCGATTATTTTGCCTGTGAGTGTATTTGTTAACTTTATTTTGTAAAATTTTAACATATTTTTTTGTAGAAAACCGGTAAAATATTTTACCGAAATTTTTGTAAAGGTAATATGCAATTGTTTAAGCATTTTGTTAATTTTAAAGTTTACAGATTGTTTTGTTAATGTTTAACAAATTATTACGTTGTAAAAAGTACACGTAATTTCAGGCAGTCAATCAAAACATTTCCACTGACAATACGAATCGACAAGTTCAAAATTTATTATAAATCATTGTAATTTAATATTATTTAAGAAATATATAAAGTTATATATAGTTTCTACAATGTAAAAACAAAACAATAATTTATAAAATCCCCCGAATGGGCACCAGATTGTAACATTGTTAGCACGTTTTTTGGTAGGATCAAGAAAAATGTAACTTTCTTATGATTCACAAAGCGTAAAGTAAAAGTAAGATAAAAACTTTGATAACAATTGTTCTTGAGAGGTGTAGAGAAACTTTGTACGTACTATTTAAGACGGTAAGTAAGGAAGAAAATGTGTCAAGAAAATCAGTAGAGTGTGGTAAATGTATTAATATCAAGTAGTAAAATATTCATAAAAGATATTTTCATCGAATTTATTGCCCGAAGCATGGGCGATAAAAGTCAATAGTAAGGGGTAACGTCCTAATTCGTCGGCAACTTGCATGTTCCTAAACACCTACGATATCTTAAGAATGAAAATAATAAAACGAGACCGTCAAGTAAAAATCAGTATATCCATGCGGTGGTTTCTTACTAACCAGTGCGCAACTTCCACTACGGAAACAAGTGAAGAGGGAAAGAGTGGGGAATGCACGGCCTCTGCGATGCAAAACGCACGATTCACCCTCAGTCGCTCGGTAAACTGCGCTGTTGGTATCCTGGTCAGATTATCTCGCGCGGGCTCGTGTTCTAACTTAAGAGTGCCGGCATTTTCAAATTGTCAAATGGATTAAGTGTTTGTTACCTCATTAAAAAGACAACAGTGTGAGTGACAATGAGTTCGAACAAGTGGTTCGTGTTGATCCTGACTATTTCGGTGTTTAGATTTAGTGCGTGTGGTGTGTGTCCTAACCCATGTACGTGCAAGTGGAAAGGTGGTAAACAGACCATGGAGTGCATGGAACGTGGACTTATTTCGATACCGGAAAGTGTTAATCCCGATACGCAAGTGATCGACCTGTCGGGGAACAATATTCAAATATTGCCTAGGGAAATATTTTTTCGTTCCGGACTAATAAATCTTCAGCGTATTTACTTGAAGAACTGTCGTATCGGCCAGATTGATGATATCGCGTTTCACGGTTTGACCAATCTAATTGAGCTAGACTTGTCGCACAATTTATTAACGGCGATACCATCGGGCACGTTCCACGACATACCATTTTTACGTGACCTAATTATTTCGAATAATCCCATCCAAAAAATCGACACATTCGCGTTTCAAGCGCTGCACGGCTTAGTCAAACTGGACGTATCGAATTGCGAATTGCAAACGATATCGCCTAATGCCTTCGATGGAATCGACATGCTGGAATCCCTCAAGATTAATGGAAATCGCCTTACCGAACTCCGACTGCACACCGTGGAAACGTTAAGCAGTCTAACCAGATTGCACGGGATCGAGCTGCACAACAACCTTTGGCACTGCGATTGCCGCATGCGACCCGTCAAAGAGTGGCTCGTCAACAACAACATCCCCGTGCCCATCTCCCCGAAATGCTCCGGAGGACCGGAGCGGGTGGTCCACAAAACCTTCGCGGAGTTGCACGCGGACGATTTCGCCTGCAAGCCGGAAATGCTGCCAGTCAGTCGCTACGTCGAGGCCGTTAAGGGAGATAATGCCACTTTAACATGCAGAGCGAATGCAATCCCGGCTCCGGTCATACGCTGGTACTGGAACGGTCGTTTATTGCTTAACAGCTCCGGATTTAACGGCCAACAGCGTGTCTACATATCTGAGGAGGGCAAGCAGGAGAAGAGAAGCACGTTGGTGATAACGAACGCGCAAGATGTAGAATCGAATGATTTTTACTGCGTTGCCGAGAACCGAGCCGGAAACTCGGAAGCCAACTTCACTTTGCACGTATCAACTAATTCGATGGGCCTCATTACGTTGGGAAACGGCCAAATTGCTGCACTTAGCGCCGCCTTGGTAGTCCTAATTATATTCATCCTGATCATTATCTCCATACTATTATCGAAATTACGACGAATTCCTTTTACCGAAAGTAAGACCCCGGGACAAATCGAAATTGTCACCGTGGTAAACGGTTCCGCCATCGCAAATGGAAAATCCATCGGTTCCCCCACCCTCGCTCAACAGGAAACGTCTTCGTTTTCCGAAAGAATCCAATCGGATGTTAATTTCTGCAACCCCGTGCAGAAGCCCCCGAGGCTGAACGAGCTGCACTTTCCCACGTCGCATTACAACGGCGGCAGCAGCATAATGCCGGGCTCTTGCTTTGTCTCGCCGTCATCAATCAACAACCCCGATCTGATCAACGACACCAAAGGCTTCGAGAACGACGAAATGGTGCCCGTTGCGGTGGCAACGTCGCACGAAACGTCGTTAGGGGAGATGGAGCGGCCGGCCAGCGGCGAGTACAGCAGGAACGTGGATTCGCTGTACCCGAGCGGTCTCTGGGACAGCGACTCTCTCAGGAACTCGGTGACTCCCAACCTGACGGGCTACCATTACGACGACAAGACGCCCATCATGGACGGGCAGAGCGTGGCCGGATCGGCTGAAGAGCTCAGCTACAGGCTCTCGCAAGGAACCAACAGGGTGGTCGGCTATCCATCCGATTACGGCCTGCCCATGACTTCTTCGGAAAAGACGCTCAAACCGGCAGCCGCCAACCAAATTCCTCTTCCTGCCAACGCCAAAACCTTGAGAGTGTGGCAGAAAGGTGGCGTTCCAGTCCTACCTCCCGTCACCGCTCTAAAGCGGGTCCTGACTCACAACAGGAACAGCCCCGACGAGGGTTATCAAGAGGGCTGTGGAACTGACGTTTAAATGCTCTCGGCAACCCTAAGGGTGCTTTTTAGAAAAATAAATAAATCAACTACTTAAACAGTTTAAAAACTGTTGTGTTTATTTTTCTTAAAAGCGAAATGATACCAAAGACATGTTCCTATCCGTGAAGAGTTTGAAGACTTGTTGGTTAAAGCAACTTGGTAGTGCTGTGAAAGAATCGGACTGGAATAAAGGTGTTATTATTGATAAATGTTTCCCCATGTGATATTTCACTGAATGTGAATTTTTGTAAATAACGTGTAAAATATGTAGATAATCCCAATAGTAAAATGAAAATTTTGGAGTATACATGGTCTAAAGACTGAATAAGTAGTAGTTGTTGATGTTTCGATGGTAAAATAATTTATTTTGGGTACGTATTAATATCATACATTAATCACACATCATCATAATTTTTCACGTCATTATTCAAAACGTATCCACAATATATTCTTGGACCACATCTATGTATAAACAATAATTACTGAGATAAGTTATTTATTTTTATATTTATTAACTGTATAATCCTACATGTACCATATCTATATGTACTAATAGAAAAAAGACTACTATTATGAGGAGATATTTATTAAGAGTTTGTTGTGTACTATTACTGACTTAAACTAAATATAACTCAGTATTCTTAATGTTACCAAATGTATATTCCATGTGACAAGGTAATTTTTAACAATAAACTATAAAACTAATATTTACTTTTATTTCCCATACAAAAAAATACATTATGTTCATTTAATTAAAAGGCAATTTTTCATCCCGTAACTTCAAACGATTGTTTTATTATTTAGTCATTAGGCTTTAATGACAACCAAGTACTTGAATAAATAATGTTTAAATTGTATTTTCAATATCAATAATTCTATTTAAAAAAAAAGCACAAATATTACATGTCGATAAATATCGTACAACATCAAAATTTGTTTATTGTAAATAGCATATTTAATATTGATATATTTTCATACCCCTAAGGTAAATTCATTTAGAAGCTTACACGTATTTTTCGCATACCTACAGATATAAAATTGAAATTTGATATTCTCTCGAGTAATATTAAACGTAAAAATGGAAATTAGGAATTGCTTAAAAGTAATGAATAATGTATTTAAAATATGAAATGCAGGACGAAATATAATCCCTGAAATTAAATTTGATTTAGTATTTTAAATGAATACAATACATGTCATGTTTAGGCGAGAAAATAATTTTAAATAAAAAAGTTTGTCTACTATTTTTTTATTTGCTGTAACATTTGAACTGACATAACTACAATCGTGGGGTAAAAATACCCCAACTGAAAAAAAATAGAGACGCAATTTTTTTAAACTTTTTAAAATATATTTGTGGCGTCATGACGTTTGTTTTTATTATTGACGCGTCAAGGATAAAAAAACATAAAAATTGAAAATAGGCAAATGTTTAAAAACTCCTAAAATAATAGTAGTTAAATAGTTACTTTTTCTATAAATATAATAAATTATAATGTAATAAAAATGTCACATCATACACATACATACATTTTAATTTGTATATATTAGTAAAAAAAATTGAAAAGTTGTTAATAAATGTAATTTTTTAATATATTGGCACATAATAAATCATTATAGGCTAGTAAATAGTTGTTAGCGTCAGTGATTGGCCGAGTTCATAAAATTCGACTTCTGTCAGACAGATCTAACCTTACTTTCTACTTTTAATAATTGTTAATAAGTTTCAAACATCGTTTAATGACAAATACAATTATAAATAAAATTATTGATGAATAGACTTTAGCGAAACTTTTTTTGGTAATTACTAAACTAAATTAAATTTGTCAATACCGAATGTTCCTAATCTATTTGTTTACAAACTTTCAAGGTTTAGATAAAAAAATATTAAAAGAATTAATTTTAGCTTATCAATCATATTTTTAATTTTTAATGCATAGCTAATTTAATAATTATAATTAATACTGAAGAAAGCCCAGTGTAAGTGCATTTTAGTAAAATAATTGTCTTAATTTAAGAACAAAACCTACTATATCTAAAAAATAATAAAAACAACAACAAAATCTATAAAATAATTAAAAAAACCTTTTTGGTGATAAATCAAGTTGTAGGTTCAAAATTGTTCCTTTATATACACATTTGGTATAGCATTAACAGTTTTGCTACCAAAATATTAGACGTTAGCTACGAGCATGAAAAGCGCTTACGCCAGAATATATTGGACACGGAATTGCAGAGAATGTTAAGGCTTGCTATGCTATGCAGATTAGTGCTGAGATGAGAGAATCTAATGGAATTAATTATAAAAGAAAAACACTGTACTAGTTTTAATCCAATATTAATATTATCATCAATTTCTCAAAATGATATAGTCAAAATTCAACTATTTGAATTAGTACCAGCATTGTTTCCTTATAAAATAGTCGTCTTCACTTTTATATAGTTATTTTTAAGATAAGTCACCATCTTTGACTGTTTCTCACTTTTTTAAATATAAATCTATTAATTTGAATATTTCATTCGGTAGAATTTGACTAATTATAATTAGTCAAATGAAATATTCAAATTAGTAGAAAAAGCAGTCACTAATAATAATCCCTGAATCCGAAAATACCGTCAAAAATTATGAAAGTGGTGAACAGTTTTTGAGATATAGTCAATTCCATATTAAATGGAAAATTGACTATATCTCAAAAACTTTTTAGAAATACCCTTTTTTAATATCTTATCTTATCTTACTTAAGTATTTTGACATATTCCGGTGGTTTCCTGTTGTTTAATAATAACATTTAGAATATCTGGACAAGTGCATTTTTTTATTCACTAAACATAAATTTTTAATGTTGATAAGAATTGATATCGCAAAACTATCTATAAAAAATGACATCGCTACATTGCCAACAAAATAAAACATTTAATCAAATCCCGTACCTATATCCTAAAAAAACAGGAAGATGTGATGAAAAAGTAAATTTTTTTATTAAGCGCCGGGCGGGTAAACCTTTTAAACCCCCTTTCCTCTCAATTTCTATGCACAATAGGACGTTAGAAGTTTATTAATGTATGTTTATGCTTTATTGCACTTTTAAAATTTGTTAAAAGTTCTGAAACTTTACTACAAGTCAAAACCATAACCTAAATTTAGATTAAAAGACTATCATTTTTTTCTTCCAAAACATTTCTTAGAGGGGTGAAAATAACAGAACAAGACTAACCGGCTAAAAATACAAAGGTACGGACTACATTACGAGGTGAGTTCAGAAAATAACGGGAATTGTTAAATTTCGCGGGTTCGGAGGGTCCGGTTGTCATAAAATTTTCTTTATTATGTTGGTATACAAAAACTTTAGCTGTTTTCATTGTTTACTTTGTCTGTGGCAGCCGCTAAGGTTAGACGTGTTTTATGAGCTCGGCGATATTTCGTTCGTTAAAAGAAATGGATCAAAGAGTTTGTATCCAATTTTGCTTAAAAAATGAAATAAATTCTGTGAAATGTTAACAAAGGCCTATGTGAGTCTACTATAAGTAAAACAAGAGTTTACAAGTGGTATAAGAGTTTCCAAGATGGCCGTGAAGACGTTGAAGGTGACGAACGCCCCGAACGCACAAGCACATTAACAACCGATAAAAACATGGAAAAAGTGGAAGAAATGGTTATAAACCATCAGAGAAGTCGCTGATGATGTTGGTATATCGATTGGCTCATCCCATGAAATTTTTTCGAATGTTTTGGGTATGAAACGCGTGGCAGAAAAATTTGTTCTAAAATTGTTAAATTTTGAACAAAATTTTTGGCCAAAAACAATACTGTAATGATGCCCCAGCCTCCATATTCGACTTTTTCCTATTCCCAAAAATAAAGAAAACTTTAAAGGGCCGTCGTTTTGCAAGCATAGGTGACATTAAAAGCGCATCGCTGAAAGAACTAAAGGCTATCACAAAGATCGAGTTTTAGAAGTGTTTCGAGTATTGGAAGAAGAGCTGGCACATCCAATGGGGACTATTTTGAAGGCGACAACATTAATGTAGACGAATAAATAAATATTTGTTTCAAAAAACTAAAATTCTAGATATTTTCTGAACAACGTAATATTTGCTTGTGTTCTAAAACTTCTTCTGGAATATTATCAAATGAATACACAGCCACTGATCATTTAATTAAATGTTTTTTTAGTCGATAACGTTTAAAAAAATGCCATTCAATTAATTTGTTTTTATTCATTCAAAATACAAGTTCTTGCTGAAAAATATATTAAAATTGCCCCTGTAACTATCAACAACTAATTGCAAACCGGGTTTAATTTAAAATCGATCATTGATTCCAGACATTCTCTGTAGAAACCGAACGGTGTGCATGAATATCCTCGGTAAATTTATTCGGTATTAAATTTAAACAAAGGCGGAGAGCTTAAGATTTTTTTTCCTGCCGGCAATTTTAAATCCAACTCATTGTACCAAATAAGCCGACTGGAACTAAGTTTAAATGCATAGTCCCACTTGAACGGAGTAGCGTAAATATCTCTCTTCTTGCTGTTTTTATATCTGTCTCTTGACTTAAACCCTGTGACGGATTGTTTACATTATTTAATGGAATTTCAGATTCGTCAATATTTCAGTCAGGACTTAATGCTACGAGGGAAGGTCTGACTTGATGAAATGAAGGCAGCTGAAAAAGGGTACATCCACTTTAATAATTAATTAGGAAATTTCTTTCTATTTCAATTTCATCTGTGTTTAATTATGTTTAACAAATCGTAAGAATGTATTAATTGTATTTATTAATAGATGTAATTTTAGTTTTAAAATTATAAATAAGATACGTCTTTATTTTAATGTTAAACCAATATATTTTGGATAGCATTTTCTAATAGAAACCGCATAAAAGGTTCTGGTTTCTGCACTTATATAAAAAAGAACCCAATATCAATTAAGTTTTTGAATGTTTGAAGGCACGAACGAGCAACGAGTGTTTAATTAAATGAGTGTCTAGAAAAGTTTATAAACGAGTTGCATACTATACTTATTCTACGATAAATACTTATTATTATCTAAAAGTTATTTATACAAATTAAATATTTTTATATCTATAAAACAA